CATCCCACAGATTCCCGAACAGCTCTGGCCTGGGTCAGGCTTGAAGCAGTGTGGCTCACAGACAGGAGGGAAATAGTCCTGGGGAAGAAGATGCAAGGGTTTTAAAGCAGTCAGTGTTGGTGCTTGTTTTGCTGTAAATCTAAAACCTCAGGATAGTGATATGAATGCATTTTGTTCTGTTCTCTACTGGAAGGAAAAACAACTGGGCCCTGTAGAGAGCACTTATTGAAGGTAAAATGTAGGAGAAAGAATTGGGGCCTAACACGTGGCTAGGAATTGGAAGAGAAGCAGCCATGTTGAGATTAAAGCCATCAGGGTTGGGATTCAAAATCCTCTGCAGTGTGTTTGTTCTGGAACTTGTTCTCTGCCTTGACTGCACCTCCCCAGATATCATGGAGTTGAAAACTCTGAAGGGTTTGGCGTTGCATGACATCCTGACCGAGATTCACTTATTTGTTCACAGAGGTAACCTGCTTTGTTCCCTGGCTAAAAAGCTGTGGCAGTCACTCCCTTGGGTTTCTGGTGGTTACAGAGGGAGCTCACCAGGCTCTATCCTTCTTTTTTTTTTTGTACCAGGGATTGAACTTGGGGGTGCTTAACCACTAAGCCATATCACCAGCCCTTTTTGTATTTTATTTAGAGAGAGGGTCTCCCTGAGTTGCTTAGGGCTTCACCAAAGTGCTGAGGCTGGCTTTGAACTTGAGATCCTCCTGCTTCAGCCTCCTGAGTCACTGGGATGACAGGTGTGCGCCTCTGTGCCCTGCACCAGGCTTTATTCTTGAAACAAAGAAACAAGGAGGAAGTATTATAAACCTGACCCTCAATTTTTATTAGTTTTGTCTTGCTGTTTAAAATTTTGTTTCAAAAACCTTGTAATCTCTGGAATTGCTGGGTGAATAGGAAAAAACTCCTGAAGACTAACTTTACTTCTTCCAGGGGTTTGTGTTTTACAGCAGTAAGTAGAATGTTTTAATTCACATTTCTACAAGAATACTTACCCTGAGGAGAGGGGGAGGGGAGTCTGTCTTAATGTCAGCCAAAGCAATCTTAAGGACCCATCTCTAGCCCCATGCTTGCTGGAACCTCTGTAGAGTGGATTCTCAGCCTGGGCAGCACCTAGGGATCATGCCAGGCATTGAGTCAGCTCTGGGGAGGAGCTGGGTGCGGCATTTTTTCAGGCTCCTGTGTGATCCCCTGTTCAGTGGTTTAGAGCTCTTCCCTCCTCAGTCTCCACAGATGGGAGGCCACCTGGGTCGGGGACTGGGCTGGCCTGTGTAGAGCCAGCTGCCGTGGGTGTTCCTGAAACTGAGAACTCGGCTCTCCAGTTACCTTGTAGAGCCACCCAAAAAAAGCAGTGTTGCTGTCCCTTCTGTGTTCCTCTTGTCACTGTGGGATCTCATATACATACACTCACACACACACTTTTTTAAACTACACTATTAAGAATTACAAAATAGTGGGGCTGGGGATGTGGCTCAAGCAGTAGCGTGCTTTCCTGGCATGTGTGCTGCCCAGGTTCGATCCTCAGCACCACATACAAACAAAGATGTTATGTCCTCTGAGAACTAAAAAAAAAATAAATAAACATTAAAAAAAAAAAGAATTACAAAATAGTGAATGAAAAGTATGAAACTCCACCATTTTTACTTTCGTAGACATCTGGGAACTTGTGATCAGTCTGAGGCCTCAGAAGTCCACTCTTACTATTTGATGTTTAAACTCATTCTTGTCGGGAGAAGTTCAGTGTTAAAAGTATGAGTTTAAACACATACTTTTCCTCTGGGTTTTTTCCTTTTGGGGTGGTGGTAGTAGGGGGAGCCCATGCTCATTTGATTTTTTTTTTTCCCTCAGTGGACTTTCCATCATCAGTTCGAATACATTTATTGACCAAAATGGCAGACATCGAGTGAGTATGAATTTCCCAGTTTTAATTCTTTTCTGCCCCCAGCGCACCCCTGTTGTGAGGTTTTTCTTTCCACTTGTGTGGTCTTAGCATTCTTGATTACCTCATTTGTGATATAATCTAGTTTGGGATGACAGTAAATGGGATGTGGCAGAGGATGGAGATGCTTATTTAAGTCAGCACAAGGCCAAGCAGATCAGTTACAGATTTGAGATGAGGGCCTTTCCTTTGGCCTCAAAGGCTTCGCCCACATTCTGAAGATGCTCTCATTTTGGGGGAGACGTGCTCCAGTTCAGGCTTGTAGGTCATTTGGGGACGACTAGCTCTCCAGGCATTTTGGCATACTGAAACATATTAGGGGGGAAAGTCAACACAAACTCAATTTTCCACTTTGTCTGGTTCAGTAAACACTGTTATTAGCCCCCAGTGAAGCTGGCAGCTATCATTTAAGTAGACAGAGCATTGGGTTCAAACTAGACGTCAGTATAGGCCAACTCTAATTTGCTGTCACTAAGCTTTCATGTGTACAAATTAGGTCACTTCTTATCACTATGCTGTATGATTTTGCTTTTGATGGCTGGGCACTTAAAAGGTGGCAAGATGAACCGCCTGTGTCCTGCTCTACTTACTAGACCACAGACTCCCATAAGTATCAGCCCAACTTCACAGTGAAATGTCAGTTACAAGGAAGGAAATCTCCATTTTAATTCCTCTTAGTACAGCTGGTAGAAGAAATAACCCTTAATCACATGAATTATGCCCCACTAGAGTTAGAACAAACTAAGTCCAGAACACTGCTGTTGGTAGATTTAAAATTTGTCTTCAAGTTTCAGATTTCTAAACCAGTATTAGAGTAAGGAGGGAGTGTCAAGGAGTTTGCTGTCAAGGATCATTTTGGATCAGCTCCCATGCCCCTCCTTTGCTCTCCAGTTCTCTTACCCACAGGCAGCTCTCTGTGACGTTCTTTATTCTTGTGTTTGTTTTATTTTAGGTACAGGCTTTCTGTTGGCACCAGTGAGAAGATTCAGCTGAGCTCCCTCATTGCTGCTTTTCAGGTTACCCGAGACCTGATTGTGGCAGAGGCCTAGGTGCTCCAAGCCGATCTCCACCTCTCAGGGCCCATCCCTGACTGGAGAACAGAGGACTCAGTTATAGGTGTGGCCGTAGAATGAAGCCAGTCATCCCAGGTCTTGGAAAACTCTGGTCCAGGATGGACGGGCAGATATTTACAAAGTACTGTCTTGGTTGTTTGAAACACCAATATAGAAAACAATTTTAACATATACCTATCTTATCACACTGCTTTTTACTTTTTTGGTATTTTTACCCTTTAGTTGCTTGGATAACAGGAAATTGGCCTACCCTTTGGTCTGTAACATGAGGTTTTCTAATCTACTGTGGTCCAAATGTCTTTCAACTCAAGGTAATCACCTACAAAGTTTATCAACGTAATATTTGGCATTATAAACTTTATAAACAAGTTCTAGTGAATTTCTGGCCCAAACTGTTCTATTTTTATAAAACAGTGAACACTTTAAAAACTAATCTTTTTGGTTCCCCTCTTGCAGTAGAACTTGTAGCAGGTTTCAGTGGTGTGGACAATAGGAAAAAACTTGAAATTTTAAATACAGAGCTAGCCTCTGAATCGTGCCATCTTAGGCCATTGCTTACACTAGCTTTATACTGGGAGGGCCTGTCAGATGAAGCCCAACCCGAAACCTGGACCTGCTCAAAGGACTGATCCCAAAGATACAGTAATCTCTTTTACAGTTTTGCTTTAAAGTAAGGCTAAAGCAGCTAGCTTGGTGCTCACAAGTGATGCTGCTTCTTAGCCAGCGTTAGAAATGATGACTTATCTGTAATTGTACTGAATAAACTTTCTTTTAGGCTGTTCCTTACAATGTTGTCAAATTCTTATGCCTCCGTTTAACAGTGGCTCAATTTCAGTTTTTTAGCTTTACAGTGGTACAAGTGCAATGTGTTCAGTAGAAACCAGATTTCTAATTTTGACCTTGGGCTGGACTAGCAACATGCCCTGCACTACTCCAGTGATGCTGGGCAGCAGCAGGGCTGTAGCTCCCACCAGCCTCAATATCATAAGGGGAAACTCCACTGCCGCCCTCCCATGTGCTGCTCTGCTGTTCAGCCTATCCGTTGTGTGAAAAGCACCTCTGATATGGGTATTTCCAAATTAAAATGGGTTTATGGAGATGCAGCCCCGTGGTAAGCTGAGGAGCATCTGACATCAAAAGGGAGAAGTAGGTTGGTTATCCCTCCATCTAGACGGCTCACTAGCAGTTTGAAGCTATTAGCCAAGTAGGCCCCAAGGAAACAAAACCCCCCAGGGCTTCCCAGGGCCCTCTCTCTGATACTTCAAGATGGTCATGAAACTAAAAGGTTACCAGCCCATTCCTGCCCCTCCCACTGTACTGCTTGTTCTAAAAGGTGATTGTTAAATTTTATTGTTTCTCAGTCCTGGGGACTGAACCCAGATGTAGTCTAACACTGAGCTCTATCATCAGCCCTTTTTAAAAATTTTGAGATGGTCTAAGTTGCCACAAGCCTGGCCTCAAACTTTCCATCTTCCCGTCTCAGCCCTCTGAGTAGCTGAGCTTACAGGGGTGTGCCACCATGCCCAGTTGATTCTTTTTTCTTAATGTGGGAGGAAAAAAAGAAACAGAGCCAAAAGCTTTTGTTTTTGTTTTTTTCTTCAATGAAAGCCTTATTTTGAAATGTTTTTTCTTCAAGCAATGAAGGTGGTAGAGGAGATTCCTCTGTCTCATTAAGTTGTTACGCTGCCTCCATAAAGGATCAATTAAGAAAGCCAAAGAATAAGATGTTGCATTTCTTTCAAAATAATTTAAAATATATTAGATTTTCCTAAGGCAGATTTTGTCGGAATAAGGTGTCTTGATTAGATAGGTAAATGCCACTGAGGGAGAACAGTACTTTTAAGGAGCTATTTTTGTTGGGTAGTTGAAACTGACTAATGAGTCTGATGAGGTCAAGCAGCAAAGACAGATGTTGTACATAGAATATAAGCTGAAGTGCTGACAACACCAGTTCTTTACACAACGAAGACACATCTTCACCACTGTTCCATTTCAGTACTCTGGTTTTTAGATACGATTGAGAAAAACACAGTTGTACCTTAACATCTGTTTAGAAAATACAAATAAATATGATGCTAATAAATGGCCAACAACTGATAGCTCAGTAGCCATTTAACAGTCATGCATTTAGGAACACATCCTCATATAATCTGACATACAAATTTATCATCTCCTGCACATGCACACCATTGTTTAAAAAAATAATAATAAAAGAAACAGCCAATAATAGTGTTTGTTATCAGTCAGGAGCACAGCCTCTGATTTCGCCTGTTACTCAGGTAACACCTTATACCAAGTGCTCCATGGAAACTTGGTCCTGCTGATCAGAGGGAGCCTGAGGGAGGTAACTTGCCAATGTCAAAGCAGCTCTGAGCACAGCAGGAGGGGACGTTAAACCATGCCACCACTGTACTGGGAACAAGGATGAGTATGCTACACAGCTCACATCCCAGCTGAGGGCATGTAAACCTTGCCGCCACTAAGGACAGGCTCTAGCGGCCTACTTGAATCATCAAAACATCAATAACTGCACTTTGAATCAAAATGACTATAAGGAGCTCAATATTTGCTTTTCACAAGTGGACTCAAGACTTAAAGTAAGGCTCTGTCACTGCAGAAGTGGGATTTCCTCCTCTAAGATTGGCTCGCAGACGCCATGGAGAAGATGACCCATGACCAGTCCATTGGAATCTAGTCTGCTACATTCTCTTCACAATCCCAAAGAATTTCTATTTCAACCCAAGACCAGATGTTTGGCCTGTTATTCCAGCTATTCCTTTGCCGGGAAGATTTATTCTGCTACAAGAAAACAAGATGTGCAGCATTGCTTAAAAAGTCCTGTACGTGAGGAATTCTTTCATTTTCTTGGGGATTGGCAGTGCTAGGACTTGGTAGGTTGTTAGGAAACTTCGAAGGGCTTTCCGGCATAAGTGCTTCAGTGAGGACAGGACTCTAGGAGCAGTCCAGAACTGGACATGGCCATCTCTTGTCCTGGAACAAAACAGACCAACAGGGTCAGAAAGACCTTGCTTTCATTGCAACGGATGTTTCTAATTTGACCTCAAGTAGCAAAATAGACTCCAGAAGGTGAAAGGCAAATCTGACTAGGAATGACTATGAAGGCTCTGGTGCTGACGAATGAGGGTTGCTGACAGGTTTCTAACACGTTATGATGTTGTATGTGCCTGTGGCCCAGACCACTCGAGAGGCTGAGATGGGAGGATCACTTGAGCCCATGATTTTGAGGCCAGCCTTAGCAACACAACAAGACTTTATCAAATATAGAAAACCCTCAAGACAGAGACTTTTGACACCAGACACCATCTCTGTCAATAAAGACCTTTCAACAAGTTAGATCAAAAGTGGTAAGAGGGAAGAGTGTCACCTACCAAATCCAAGGAGTTAACCTGTAAGGTGATCTCGGTCATAAATCCTTTCCCATAAAAATTCTACATCATCCTAATTTGTGTTCCCTTGTAAACCTGGCCCACTGAATTGCAGATCTTTAAATACATTGTGGTTAAATATTAAAAGAGTAAATGATGTATTGTCAGAATTGAATATTTGAATTTTATATAATCTTGGATTTCTTTTCTTCCCTTAAAAACTACATGGCACATGCAGCATAAACTGCTCCCCATCTGCTCAGCTAACATACATACCCTGTGGCAATAACTCCACCATGTGGAAAAAACGTGCAGCAAAGTCCATTGGTCATGGGAGCAAATGCCACGGGAGCCTTCAGCTCCAGGGCCCAGATCCTGAGGAGCCTGGACAGGAGAGAGTGGTACAGTGACACACTAGCCAACCTGGGCCACACCAGGAGGGGCATGCTGCCACTACTTCCAAACGCCTGCTCTGAGGCCTCCTAAAGGGAGTTCTCTCGTTACCTGTCGTCTGCCACTGTCGCAAGGTACAGGCCTTCCGGAGAGAAGCACACAGATCTCAAGGAGCTCATGTGGACATCGCTGTCATCCATGGCAGGCTCAAGCTGGGTGTGGCTGCAGAAGTCAGAAACAGGACGGCATGCTGGGTATGAAGGCCAGCCTCCTGCTGCAAACACCCCTAGGCAGGAGACCAAACTGCTGTGCTCTGTGCCCTTATGGAAAATCTGGGATTCAGACTGGAAAAAAGGGCCCTTCAGAAGGCCCCAAGAGTCTTGGGGCTGAAGGGTTACTAGCACTTCCTTGTGCTAATTTCTTTATGCAAAGTAGGTCAGCTCTCACTTTAATGCCACAGTACAAACTGAAAATCTTTTTTAGGCTGAGATACATGATAATTATAGGACTACCTATTATTTGCTTCATAAAACAGAAAGACAAAAGTAAAAAGTAGACCAGGTTTGTAAGAACATGAAATTCATATTGGAAATTATGTTTTCAATCGGAGGATCTTTCTGAACTTGTTACTACAGTTATTAGTAAGTGGAATTTTGTCACTTTGAGGTTTCATAATGATGAATCCAAATTAGTACAGACGGCTTCCTAAACCCAGAGACTTGCAGACCCTGACAGCAAAGCACTGAGCCACTGCGCCTTCTCATCTAGGCTGCTCTTCCCCACCCCAGGCTCCAAGAGGGACCTGTCTAATGCCAAGTAGGTTCTCATCAGCCACCTGACAAGGAAACCATAGCAGGGAATCAGTCCTTACTGGAGTGACCTCAGCCTCTCGCCAGTGTAGGGGTCCCACATAATCACGTTGGTATCATAAGAAGCTGTGACAAGCAAGGCAGAGTCTGGGGAGAAGTCACAGGAGACAACACTGCTTTGGTGGCCTTCTAGCTTCCGGATTAGTGTGTAGGACCGCATGCTCCAGAGGAAGACCTGTGGGGATGAACAGGGGCCTGGTGAGGGGCAGGAACCAAGCACCCAGGACTTGAACAGCAATAAAAGGCACCAGAATCCCCTCTTCAGGCCCCATGGCCAGGTGAAACCATTCCGCCCTCCTCCTCCACAGCCTATCATCCAGGGGGAAACAAAGCAACGTACCTGAATTCATGAGGCACTGAGTGGGCATGGTCAGCTTGGTTGTCTTTATCTCCAGCCCTTTTTTTAAACTTTCTATCTTTCTCACTATGTTCCTGAGGCTGACTTTGAACTTGTAATCCTCCTGCCTCAGCCTCCCGAACAACTGGATTGTGCCACTATGCCCTGCCCAAAGAGTGTTCTTTAATAAGACTAAGCCAGCCAACCTGGAAGGCTGCCAGCTGAAATGGCCCCAGAGGCTTCTGAGCCCTGCTTGAAATAGGGTAGCACGTGCTGAGGAAGACTTGAGCCAAATACTACCTTGTTCCACTTAAAGCCAAAAACGGGTCAGAGGTGAACTCTGGACCACCCCACAAAGCAGTGACACCCTGATGACATTTTACACCCACACCTTTCTTAGAGAACCCATGGGAATATACCACGACTCTCTGACCTACCTTATCATTTCCACCCTAAGAATCATTAAAAGTAGCATTTTGTTTTCTCTCCTTTAAGAAAACTCTCATTTCACATAGTCTCACACCTCAAGTGGGCAACCACCTGGGTAGGATCAATAGCAGACCCTTAACCTAACTTTCTGTCAGTTACAGCAAGGGTTCAACACACATGCAAAACCTAAACAGACGCAAATTGCCAAAGGCTTGTTCTTGAGATTCTAATGCCTTTTCTTTTTTCTTTAACAGGATTAAAGGACAAAGTTCAACAATAAAAGTACCTAACCATGTCATGATCTGAATTAAAAATCCTAGATAAATTCAAACTAGATGATTCAAAGGAAATCTGGATCCAGATGTAGGTTGCAATTTTTAAATCTTAGAATCCAAAGGGAAAAGAGATCCAACAAGCACCCATTCTCTGTTTTGTAAAGGCAAACCACCCCTCAGACCTACTTCCGAACCTTCCACTTCTTGGTCCACATCAGGGTGCCGAGAGTAGTGTGAGTGTGGGGGGGTGCCAGCCCATCAGCATGCTTTCCTGCTGAGGCCAGCCAGCCGGCAGGTGGATTTTGGCTCTCACACACACAGAGTCAGTGCTTCAGACCCCTATTTCTCAATGAACTGAAGCAGTAGAGGAAATGGCACCCAGTGTTGGAGGCTTACCGACTTCTCTCCAGCTGCAGAGCACAGCATACTGCAGTCAGGGGAGATGGAGCAGCAGTAAACCCACTGGAGGTGACCTGATAACACCTGAATCTGTTTACCTGGCAAAGAAGAGAAACAAACAGTAAGCCACCCTGCAGAACAACGGAGAAGGGAGGCAGAAGTACCAGTAGTAATGGCCCAGCACCCAATACATCATCCAGTTCTCTCAAGACTGGGCCCAAAGGCTTTGCTGAGAAGGAACTACGTCCAACTTTCATTTAAACGTGTAAACAGAAAAGAAGAAAACTAAAACAGCTGCAATCTATTAATATGATATTCTAATGGCCAAGGGAATTCATGGCACCACATAAATCTAGGGAAAAGGGTGAACATAGATCTAACACCTTTTCATAGCAGAAATCCTTCTCTTCAGGTTCCCAACCACCTCAAGTGCTCTGAAGCCTCCTTCCCAACTGACAGTGCTTATCTTCAACTCTCTGTTTAACCTCCATAATGGCTTCCCTCTGGTCCTACGTTGTCTGCTGGAGAAGGGGCGAGGTGTGAAGTAATTACAGGCATAAGCTCTGGAGTCAGATGACTCGGGTTTCAATGCCACCCGGCTCCGCTGCGTACTCAGTTCAGAAGTCCAGTGACTCACGCAATCTCTCCAGGTCTTGGCTTTTGGAAAAAACCTAATGCCCAGGCATAGGGGAGTGGGTGAATTAATGGGGGTATATCTAGTCTGTTAATGTGGATGGAATTAGAGAGACAGACTTTTCTATGGGGTAATGTTTAATGAAAAAAAGCAAGATGCATAGAAATGGAAGGCGGAAATTAACAGTGGGGAAATGTAACAGTGGTCTGTTCACCTTCTGAATATAGCCCTCACTGCTCTAAGGTTTAGTCTTTAAATTTTTTTTTCCTCTTTTCTCCCCTCTCCCCCTCCCTAACAAGTTTAGGAGACAGTGTTCTCTTTTCTTCCCCTGGTTAACTGCCCTGGGACACACCACTACAGGAAGGGGATGCCAACATGCCATCAGGGGGCCTGGGATCCCTACCAAAGCATACCTGGAATGTAACCCTTGAAGAGTTTCTTTAAAACCCCTCTGTCCCTTGTGATTGAGAGTCACAGCCTTTAGGACAGAAGTCCCCTGGTGTTTTTTCTTTACTACCAAAGCAATAAACCTTCTTTTTCCTTTTTCTCAAAAACAAAACAAAAAGCAAGATGCAGAAAAAATGGGAAGCATATGATCCATTTTTGTGAAACAATGGTCTCCAACACCCATGGATGTAAGTCATGTATGCAGGATTATGTAAGTATAGAAAAAAATTACAGACAGCTATGTAAGTAGGTTCTTAACGTGGGTTACCAGATTGCAAAGGAAGAGAGGAGGACACACAAGAGGGAAGACAGGAGAAAATGGGAAGGAGAAAGCCAAGCAAAGGAAAAAATACAAGAATTTTTATAAACCCATATGTGGTCATACTTAGGAATTTATGAAGTTTTTATGCACATGCAGATATGTACAAGTTAATACTTTTAGAGTGGGTTATGGCCTCTTCAGCCGCCACATCCAAGCGCTGAGAACAGAAGGCGTTAAGGGAATCACGTCAGGAGGGCAGATCCCTGGAGCCCCACCTCAACGCCCCCTTTCTCAGGAAGCCCTAGTCGTGGCCTGCACTGCTCTCAGTCATGCTTACCTAGCCCTTCCTTCTCTCCAAGCCAGCATGGGATTCCCCAAGTCACTCTCTAGTCCCTCCCAGGACAGCAAGCTGCCGGGATAAAGCCCTGCTGTGTTGTATGTTTCAGTAGGGCAACACCACTCCAAGGGGGCTCGTGGGAGCCCGAAACCTGTTTTTTTCTTTTTTTTTTTTTTAAACATACCAAGCATAGACATGCTTTTAATATATCAATGTTCCGTCAGCCCTCTGTGCCCCCCACACTTACAGATTTAACTATCATGGATGGAAATTTTTTTTAGTTGTGTCTGTACTGAACACGGACAGATCATTTTTCCTGTCATTAGAGTGAAGCCACCATTTCCCTTACTGTATTAGGCATTCTAAGTCACCTAGACACAGTTTCAAGCATAGTGTGTTGGTTATATGAAATACTATGCTATTTCATATCAGAGACTTGAACAACCACAGTTTTGGGTATCCACAGGGGTCCTGAAACTTGTTCTTTTGATAACTGAGGGATGACTGCACTGTATTTCATTGGTTTAGGACATCTTTGGGACAAGAAGGGTAATTAGGAAGAGAATGTCTCCTTAGAGGGCAATAACAGAAAAAAGTGTTGAAAAACCATTCTACATAAAAATAGCATTGGTGAGGTTGAGAAAGGAGCAGATACATTATTTCTGGAGTCTTCAAGTTAGTTTAACCACCTCCCTACCATGTTTATTCAGGTCCCAGATGCGAAGAGTCTTGTCCCGTGATGCAGAGACCAAAATCAAACTGCCACTGGGTGTGAAGCTCAGATCTCTCACAACGTCTTGGTGGCCAGAAAGATTCAAAAGCAGAAGCCCTGAAAGGGGAGCAGAGGACTCAGTCAGCAGGAGAGGGGCACCCAGACTGCCCATCACCCTATACCCCAGGACAACTGGGGACCTGACAGGAACAGGTCATGAACATGCCTCTTGAACATGAACATGCCTGAATACCTTGTGCCAGCCAGAAAAGACCTACCTGTCTGCACCTCCCAAATCTTGATCTGTCCATCATTAAGCCCCGTGGCAAGGATCAGGCAAGAGATGTCTGGCACTTGGGGGTGGTGGCGTGCCCAGAGCTTCCTGCTGGGTGGAGAAGGCCACGGGCTGAAGGCCAAACCCCAAACAATCTGACCACAGTCCAGTGTCTTCTCTTTTGGGCTCCCTCGTCCTTTTGTATCATTTTTGCTGCTTCGGCTTTTGGCTTCGAACCCTTTAGGGATGCTGGAGAAAGCAAAGATTGGAGTCTAAAATTGTTACCAAGTCAATCAACTTGTCATCCTGGGACAGTAACACTTGATTAAAGTCCTAAAAGAAATGTTGGCTTTTAGTAAATTCCAGTGTGACTTTGTGTCATTTTGGAACTCATGTAATAGAAGCTTCACTGGCCTTGTCTTAGTCCACTGGCAACAGCCCTGCAATGGGGTGACCTGCCGTATGGGATAACTAGATCACAGATGCTCCCAGGAGCCGCACACTTGCTCAGAAAGTTCTCCTGGGTTTTGGTGTGTGGAAAGAAACATGTACTCCATTTTTCCCATGAGAGAGCATACTTATACCATAGGTCTGGAACCAGGACAGACAGAATTAGAGCCTGAACACCAGCCAACATGTCCCCTTCTATCATCTCAGAAGTCCTCAAGGAGCTGGGAAATAAACCTATCTGGCCAACAGTTTGTTTAGCAGATGTTGATTTCCACCTTCACCAGTAATAAGGCTCTTCCTTATTTCCACCTTCACCAATCAATAATAAAGTTCTTCCAGGTACTTCCTGGTGGGACATCCAGGACAAGAAGCAACCAGAAGAGTAGTCAACAAACAGAAAGAACCACAGAACTGCTCACAGGGATACCTCCGGAAGATCTCCTGGCCCGAGCCCCTCCTTTACATTCCTCTCCTTTTATATCCTCACTCTGTTCCAGGTAACTGAAGCTCACTCCCTGAGTCACTGGGCCCTGCCCACCTCTACGCCCAGCAGACAAAGTCTCAAAGTAGACAGGTCTGGGATTTGGCCTGAGAACAGTTTACTATTTGAAACACACCTTTAGTAAATCCTGCTTTTCTGGGTGACCATGACCACACTCGTGTCCAGCCACTGGGGGAGATGGAGAGAATGCCAGGCTCAGCGCAATCTGACATACTTCAACGAGGAATCCTACACTCACAGTATCTATGCCTGGACCTCTATTCCACGCTTTCCCAGAAGTTCTGAGCAAATCACACTTCTGTCAACTGTATGGTAAAATCAGAAATTTTACCAAGCTCACCTGGAAAATAAGAAGGAAGGAGCCAAGCAAATGTGGGCTAAATCAGAGGCTGGCAAACTGTGCCCGGGCCAGCGGTCTGTTTTTGTTTTAACTCTTTCAACAATCCCTTAAGTTCTCAATTTTAAAAAAATTATGGTCTATTTAACAAATAAAAATTGTATATATTTACAATGTATAATATAAACATGTATACAACGTAGAGCGATTAAATCAAGCTCATTAACATATCCTTCACTTCACAAACTTTTTTCCTCCTGAGAATACTTAAGATCTACTCTTATAGCAATTTTTCAAATATAAATTATTAAATATTGTGTCCATGTTGTACACCAGAACTCATCCCACTTAACCCAAACTCTGCAGCCTTGACCCAAATCCCCACCCCTCCCGGCCACCAGAGGGCCGCCCCCCACTCTGCTTCTAGGAGTTCGACATTTTTTAGATTCCACACATAAAGGTGCTTGGTATTTGTCCTTCTGTGCCCAGCTTACTTCATTTAGCATAATGTCCTTCACATTTATCAATGTTGTGAAAATGACTAGATTTAGTTTTGTAAATAAAAGTTTTACTGGAACCCTGCCATTGTCATTTGTGCACATATTGCTACACAGCAGAACTGAACAATCCTGACAGACTTTGTGGCCCATGAAGCCTAAAATATTTACCATTTGGGCCTTTACAGAAAATGTTTGTTGGCCCCTGGTCTAAATGGCCAAATGAGGCTGAAAATGTGTTTTTCTGGCTAAACAATCTGAATGTAACCAATGTCTTTTCAGCTGATCCTGCCCTTTCCCTATGTGGCCCTCCTTGCCTGTCCACGCTAACCAGACCTACCTGGCCATGGTGCAGGTGAGTGGCACCTTGAGAAGGACTATAAAAGCAGGCCATGGGAAGAACGTCACAGAAGAGCTTGGAAGGTATGTTTTATCTTTTATAAAATTAGAATTTCTGTATTTGAATTAATTTATTTCTGTATTTGATTTCTGTAACTACTTTATTCAAAATGTATTAAGACACATTTCCAAATTATTTCATTTTAATATTATAAATTGAATGTTTCTAGAAAGAGGGTCATGAACCACTTAACAAAAGAGAAACGTGCTGAGAACTGCTCAGTTAGGAGCCTCTGTTCTTGTGCCATCAACAGTTACAATGTCACTAGGCAAATCAACCTTTTGGGCACCTGCTGGGTGGTTTTAGCTCAATGCACTTCTAACACTAAATCTAAGGAGATAGCCTTGGATCCCACAGGTTGAGGGTCAGTCCCCAAGAACTTCCCTGTCTGCTACAGATGCTACTCCAAGTCCCAGGATGTTTTCCTTGTGCTTCTGACCCACTGGCTATAAATGAAGGTTCCTTTCCACGACCCCCTCCTCAGATTAAATTAATTGCCAACATGTGGTCTTTCACTGACCAAAACACTGTTAAGCAGGGCAGCACTGTACTCAAATTCTTGCTGTATGAGTACAGCTATTAACTTTCCCAGGCTCACAAAGTCAAGGGCAGAACTGAAATTAGAACTCAAGTCTTGGGGCTAGGGAAGCAGCTCAGTTGGTAGAGTGCTTGCCTCTCATGCACAAGGCCCTGGGTCCAATCCCCAATACCGCAAAATAAAAAGAAAGAACTCAAGTCTTGGGTGTCTTGGGTGAGTACTCAACAAATATTTAAGGATAGAGTGCATGAGAGGTAGGAGGTGGGAGCGTGGGAAGGGGCTGCTGGAGCAAAGGGAGATTCATTAACAGAACTTAGCTTAGCTTCACCTGAAAAGAAAGCTTCCCAAACCTTTTGGTTAAGATGATTATTTGGCTCAATACCTAAAGCAATTCCTAATTTTTTAATGCATTACAATCTTAAGCATATAAATGCCCCAGATCTTTCCTCTCCTGGATTGAATCCAGAGGTGCTCTACCACTGAGCTACATCCCCAGCTCTTTTATTTTTTAAGACAGGGTCTCGCTAAATTGCCTAGGCTGGCCATTAATTTTTGATCTTTCTGCTCAGCCTCCTGAGTAGCTGGGACTACAGGGACAAGCCAGTATGCCCTGCTCCAGATTCCCGCTTTTATTTTTTGTATCAGGGATTGAACCCAGGTTGCTTAACCACTGAGCTAAATCCCCAACCCTGTAATAATTTTTTTTTTTTTTTTGGAGACAGGGTCTTGCTAAATTGCCAAGGCTGGCTTTGAATTTGTGATCCTCCTGCCTCAGCCTCCTGAGTCACTGGGATTATAGACTGTACCACTGGACCTGATTCCCACTTTTAAAACAACAATTACAGGCTGGGGTTGTGGCTCAGTGGTAGAGCACTCGCCTCTCACGTGTGAGACCCTGGGTTCGATCCTCAGCACCACATAAAAATAAATAAACAAAATAAAGATATTGTGCCCATATAACTAAAATTTTTTAAAAAAAAAAATCACTTCAAGTTTCAGTAGAGAAATATGGGAAGATCTGGAAATGAAACTAATAAAAATTATCCACAATTAATATTCTAAACATTTCACTACAGATTTTAATTTATGTGCACACTCATATTTTTTTAAAAAATAAATTTGGGATAATTTGGCACATACAGTTTTATAGTCTGCTTTCTTCAACAAGCCTTATGTCATGTATTTCCTCAGGTTATTATTCTTCAAGATGTTTGATTTCCCCCCAAAAACAGGTAAGTCCTCATTTAACATATTAGTACTTTTCTCACTATATTAAATAATAAATATACAAAAGGGTTAATATTAAATGACTTTTTCCATTTCCCTTTAGTTAATACTGAAAGAATACATTTACCTTGAGTAATGTACATATTTAAATATATCTAATTTGGGGGTAAACAACAGATTTTCTATTTTATTCTTTTTTCAAAAAAAACAAAAAACTTTCAGACAATAAATTGGTATCAGACTTAAGTCTAGATACAAAGGAGAGTCCCCTGCATTTGGAGTGGGAGGTCAATTAACAATAAATATCCTCGCCATTACCAGTAAACTGACCACAGAACTGAAGATCATGATTACAAATATGATAACTTTAATGACTTTACAAATATATGGAAACGTCATAATTAACCATCCTTTATTACTAAATCTTAAGGTACCTCTGATTTTTTTTCACTATTAATTTCTTGATGAAAACCAGCACATGTAAATACGTGACCCCAGGTTCTGAGATTCCTAATAGTAAGAAGAACTTGTGTGTGTGTGGTGGTGGTGGTAGGGGATACCAGGGATTGGACCCAGGACCTGATCCCCTACCACTAAGTCACATCCCCAGCCCACCAGGAGACCATTTTTACGGTCTTGTCAAATCGCCTTCCTTCCAGAAACTGCACAAGTTTACCCCTCTGAAGGTACGGGGGGGAAAAAAAAAATCAGTCATTTTTTCCATATATTCTTTTTTGGTTTTTTCCTTAGTTATACATGGATACAATATCTTTGTTTACCCCAGCCCTCTCCTATATTCTCAACATAGAAGACTTCTGTGGCCAAACATGGGGGCTTTTCCCCACACATAAGCAAGCAATTCTGTAGCAGGCAACTTCTGGGTGGTTTTAGCTCAATGCACTTCTAACACTAAATCTAAGGAGATAGCCTTGGATCCTACAGGTTGAGGGCCCAGTCCCCAAGAACTTCCCTTTCTGCTACAGATGACTACTCCAAGTCCTAGGTTGTTTCCCCTGTGCTTCTGACCCATTGGCTATAAATGAAGGTTCCTTTCCATGACCCCCTCCTCAGATTCAATAAATCTGTTAGAGCAGCAGACAGACCTCAGGAAAATGCCTTACTTAAATTTTTAAACTGTTTATTATAAAGAATACCAGTAACAGTGGAAGAGATGCACAGAGCAATGCATATAGGAAGGAGCACAAAGACTCCACACCCTCCCCAGGGCCATCAATTTGCAAGGAACTTCCAAGTACTCACTTATCTAGCTCTGAACCCAGTCCTTTTTGGGTTTGATAGAAGCTTCATTGCATAAGCATGGTTAATTACATCATCAGCCAGTGGCAATCAACATCACCTTCAGCCCCTTTCCCTTTCCTGCAAGTTGGGGATGAAAGTCCCAATCCCTTAATCCTGCCTTGCTCTCTCTGGTGACCAGCCTCCATCCCAAAGTACCTAGGGAAAGCCAGACAACAATCAACCCAACAGCACACAAAAAGACACTTATCACTGTGGAGATCCCAAGGATTTGAAGAGTTGTGTGCCAGGAAATGGAAACTGGTAATGTCAACAAAGTATCAATAATAATCACAGTATCACACCCTTCAACCCTAGCAGTGTGTAGATTCTTCTGGCAAACTCTTGTCAGCACCTCATACTGTTAGAGAAACAAGTGTCAGACTGAATTATTACAAAACTTAAATCTAACCTGCAATTATAAAAAATGCCTAAAGCAGGCCTAGTGTGGTGGCACAGGCCTGTAATCCCAGTTGCTGGGGAGACTGAGGCAAGAGAATCGCCAGTTCAAAGCCAGCCTCAGCAATGGAGAGGCATTAAGCAACTCAGGGAGACCCTGTCTCTATTACAAAACAGGGCTGGGGATGTGGCTCAGTGGTCAAGTGCCCCTGAGTTCAATCTCCAGTAACCACCCCGCCACACACAAAAAAAGGGCAGCAATTCAGTAAGGCCCCAAGCAACTCAGTGAGACCCTGTCTCTAAATAAAATACACAAAAGGGCTGGCCATGAGGCTCAGTGGTTAAGCCCCCTGGGTTCAATTCTCAGTACAAAAAAAAAAAAAAAAAAAAAAAGCCTAAATGAGACCCCAAGAACTGGCTGAATTGATTGTACTTCAGAATTCAGAATACTTGGCCTCTAGCTCAGTGTAAGGCAAATAATTGAAACAAAAATTCCCAGAATAAATAAATGCAGACATAGAGTGGCCCCAAGACACACAAAAAGGTACAAATATATCCAACATAATGCCCTACGTAACATTTCCTGGGATCTGACTGTTCCAGATAAAGAAAAACTTTAGCATGAGAAACTTAACCAAGTCAACAAAGAAAAACATTCAATTTTAAAATGGTCTAAAGATATAAACAGATATTTCTCCAATGAAGATATACAAACGGCCAAAAAGCACGCGAGAAGGTGCTAAACACCAGTAACTACCAGGGAAATGCAAATTAAAACCACTGGCATTCAATTTCACTCTCATTAGGATGCTATGCTGAAATCAAAAAGACAACAAGTGCTGGTGAGGATGCAGAGAACTGGAATCTGAAAGCACAGTTGGCAGGATTGAAAATGGTGCCACCACTTTAGAAAACAGCCTGGCACTTCCTCAGTTAAACATTGAAAACACATGCCCACACGAAAACTGTACCCGCAACACTATTCATAATAGCCAAAAAAGAGAAAAGGAAAAAAAAATGTCCATCAATCAATGAAAAACGTATAAACAAAATTTGGTATCTCTATACCATACAATAATTATTTGGCAAATGGAGATGTATTAATACATACTACATTATGAACTATGAAACATTATGCTATGAGAAGCTGGTCAAAAAAGCCACATATTCTAAGATTCTACTAATAAGAAACATCCACAATAGGTAGATTCAGAAAGATAGTAGTTGCCAGGGACTGCAGGTGTCTCCTGCAGCAAGTATAAGATATCTTTCTAAGGTAAAGAAAAAGTTGAATATGATTATGGATGCACTAAAAGCCACCATATTGTACACTTTAAATGGGTGAATTGTATGGGGTATAAATTACGTCTCAATAAAGTTAAGAAAAAGCGTGGGGTTACAACAACCTTGACAGAACTGAATTTTCCACTCACAGGATGCTGGGGTTCTGCGAACTCCAGTGATAACTCCTGAACTGTTCAGCCTTTTTCCCTCTGCTGTTTTTGCACAGGGAGTAAGAAAAGGGAGTAAAAAGAAAGGGGAGTAAGTTGGGAAAGTGCCCTTATTCCTTTGGGTACAAGGAGTACTTACAACTGCTCCTCCAGTGGCCAAGGGATCAGCTTGACGATGCAATGTCCTTGAGACCAGGCAAACCAGGAGCCATCTGGGGAGAAAGCGACACTCCAGGTTTCACAGCTCGACTTCCAATCAAATTGGTGGGGGCGCCCGGGCTTGAGTTCTGCCAGCAGCAGCGGTTCCTCTGTGGCAGGAGACAGCATGTTTCAAAAACACTCTCACACCCTGGAGGGCCTCAAGGAAGCTGCATTCTTCAAGAATGTGGGGAACACTATGGATTCCCAGAGGGAGTTGTCATTTAAATGACCTAGGGTAATAAGTGACCACAGGCCACATTCCATCAGGGTTACTCAGTCCCATCCCTCCCAGTTGCCAGTTAACCATGACTCAAGAGTCACCTTTAGGAGGGTGAACTCACTGAATGGAGGCCTCATTTTCCTATGAATGCCTGAGCAGGAAGAAGGCAGGAGGCATCCAAGCCAGGGCTATGTTGGATGATGCAAAAATAGTCAGATATGTTAGCCATGCTAGATGGTTCCACCAGAGCAAGGCCACCAATGTGTTTCAGGTCTCCTCAATTAACCTAATCTTGGGAAAAGGTATGGGGTATGGCAGGGCTCATTCCCAGCACTCCCCCATCAGGAAAGCTAAACTCCCACAGCCCTTGCCCTGGCTTTTCTTGCTCAGATCTATTGGTTAGGCCTTCCCTAGCTCCTTTAACCCAGATCTTTCACAAGTCTTCCAATCTTCCCACCCCTAGAGAGCCTGCCAGAGCTGAAAACATTCATCACACCACTTTCCCCTGAAAATACATTCCCAGACTCCCTCCAGCCTACATAATACAAGCAGCTGAGCCCAGGCTTCTTCTACCACACCTAGGACTGCCTCCTTTCCATTACACCTCTTGCACTGCAGGCCACACAAGTCTGCTAGACATTCCCTTTCAAGTTCACACCTAGACTTACAACTGAGACATCCTCCATTATCACAATACCCTGTTTAATTCTCTTCTGCAACCAGCATTTAACCACTCTCTTCCAATACCACCAAGATGATTTCATCTTTATTTCTCCCAGGGCCTCTTGTGAGGGTAGGTACTGCACAGGTACTTCTATATGGACTGAACTGCAATTCCTAGTTCAATCCTGTAATTCTGAAAGAAGATTCTCCATGGCTGATAAGGTCTGTAAGCTAAAGGCCTTCAGAATGGATTTTCTGGCCACTAGCATCATGATACACGCTAAGAGAAAAAGTGAGTTCCATTTTGGATGAGGTCACTTCCGTATGTACATGTTCCACTTCAAGAGTTCTAGACTTTGAACTTTTATGGCTACAGATAAGATACTAACTTAAACCACCTACTTTTTAAAAAATATTTTCTTAGTTGTAGATGGACATAATACCTTTTTTATTTATTTTTTTTATGTGGTGCTGAGGATCGAACCTAGCACCCCACACATGCTAGACAAGCGCTGTACCACTAAGCCACAACCCCAGCCCCAAACAACCTATATTTTAAGCTCATCTTTTTAAGTCTTCCTACATTACCTCTCTGAAATCAGGATGTATTTTATAATAGACAACTTTTCTTAAATAGGCAGAATTTTTGTTTTTCCTTTGTAGCTCTGGGGATTGAATCCAGGGCTTTGCAAATAATAGGTAACACTCTACCACTAGCTATGTCTCCACCCTCCCCCTTTTTTGTGTGTGTGGTGCTGGGGATTGAACCCAGGGCCTTAAGCACGCAAGGCAAGCACTCTACCAACTGAGCTATATTCCTAGCCCTTAATTTTATTTTTGAGACAGGATCTCACTAAGTTTCCCAGGCTGACCTAGAGCTTGTGATCCTCCTGCTAAGTTAGCCTCCGGAGCAGCTGGGATTACAGGCCTGCACCACTCACACCCAACGCAGTAAGCAATATCCTTTTTCTCGGCGGCACATCATGGAAATACAATCCAAGGTATCTTGAAATCAGTGCAACACATGGTAAAGGAAAAAAAAACACACACACACATTTTTTCCAGTATATGTACCACAGGAAAAAAAAGGCTTTTGTTTTTATAAAATCAATGTGGCTAAAAATTCTTTCTATAAATGTGATTTTAATAAATGATATCAGGCCTCTGTAAAGAGAACATCCATTCCTGCACGTCCTATGTGTAAATCTAGGCTTTCGTATATTTGATCTGTCTAAATTGGTGTCTGTGCAGACCAAAGTTTTGTTTTGTTTTTGGTAATGGGGATTGAACCTCAGGGGGTGGGGGGAATGCTTAACCACTGAGTCACATCCCCAGCCTTTTTAAAAATTTTATTAGACAGTGCCTCACTAAATTGCTGAGACTGACTTTTGAACTCATTATCCTCCTGCCTCAGCCTCCCAAGCCACTGGGATTACAGAGCATGTGCCACTGGCCTGGCCTGAGGTAATTCTTCCTAGAAATCTGTGTGTGTGATCCCTTCCTTTGCACAATCCCATCTGTATGAATTCACTTTTGTGGATGTGATGTTCATATGGTAAGAAGTCCCCTTGTATTCTAAATCCAACACAGGTCTCTTGATGGTATTCAGGAATTTGCCACCATTTTCTTCAATGATATTATTTTTAGATATTTTCTTATGGTGACATAAACCCTAATCTACTAATGTTTTCTTCATGTAGCCCAGGAGTTCCACTGGGGGTAATTTTGTCCCCTGAGGGCTTGTCACAGTGTCTGGAGGCATTTTTAGTTGTCACCACTAAAGATGTCACATCTGTTATGTAGAAGCCAGGGATGCAGCTCAATATCCTACAGTGCATGGGACAGACACCCCCACAAAGTATTATCTGGCCCAAAATGTCAATAGTGCTGAGGTCCAGAAATACCAATGTAGTCAAATTAAATGATACTGACTAGGGGCTGGGATTGTGGCTCAGCGGGGCCCTGGCATGCACGGGACCCTGGGTTTGATCCTCAGCACCAACCACATAAAAAAATGAATGGAATAAAGGTATTGTGTTCAACTGCAACTAATAAATAAATAAATAAATGACCCTGACTGATCTGGAAGAACATTTCAGTTGAGCTGGAAGAAAATTCCTTTAATCCATCTGAGCATGTTCATATTCGGTTCACTCCCTCTCCTAAATGCTCATTATCTATCCCCGTGACTATGTTCCACACACACTATCAAATAAGTTACGGTTACATTGATTTCTTTTACCTCCCTAATCAAACCCATTAGCAAGTTCAGTCAAGTCTGTTTCCAGATTTGCCTAATCTACTTCAACCCATCTCTGTGGCTACTGTTCTAATACACCTGGCATCATCTCACCTGCCCACCAGGCCGCCTTCCATCTGCTCTCCTTGTTTTCACTCTAGCCCCACCATCCCTCCTCACTTCCCACTTCCTAGAACAAAATTCAAACTCCTGCCTGCTCTCAAAGTCCGGCATTACCTGTCCCCTCCCTCTCCTCTCCCTGCTACATCCAGGACCCTGGCCACCTACCGCCTGACTGTGCTCAGCTACCTGAGGGCCTTTGAACCAGCTACTCACTTGAGGATGCCTCTCTGTATCTGGTACCTTACCCCAATGACAACTCCTTCTGGAGTTCTCTGACCTTAGTCAACTTCACCACTTGATTGGCATGTCTCGCCCACTACCATCCTGTCCACTACACTGCAGGACCCTTTTTTATCCCCAGTGCTAGCAGAGTTCCTGGCAAACACCAGGCAGTCTATAAATATTTAGTGAATAAATATACATGGTATAGCTCTTTAAATATAAACAAAACGAAGTCCCTTAAACTACTATGATGCTTTAAGACAAACATTTCACGTGAAATCCTTCTTCAACATCAGCCTACTGAAAATGTACACACTATTTCTGTGATTTAGGAATTCAATCTCTCTTGCTATTTTGGTTCAGGAATTCAGGCACTAAAAGAAGAATGAACCCAGTGACTCCTGTTAAGGAGTCTGAGCCATTAAACTTGGCTACTGGAAAAGAAAACCATAATTAGTGCAGAACTTGAAAACAAAACAGAGCCGAGAGGACCAGCTTCATCTGGGATTGTACCTGCAGTGGCCCTTCTTGGTTTGAAACAGAGTTTTAACTGAAAAATATTGGATGTGTTTATAGTATACCACCCGGTGTTTTCACATATGGTATGCGTTACATCACATACTTTCTTTTGTAATAAAGCACTTACAAATCTCTCAGCAATTTTCAAGCATTCAATATAGAGTTCTTTATTAACTATAGTTACCATAATGTACCACAGATCATTCTGAACTTATTCCTCCTAAATTTTGTAACCTTTAACCAACATTTCCCTAATACCCACCGACACATACACACACCTTTAAGGGTCTTCCAATTAAACAGTGGATGTTTGGATAATCAGGTCAAATGGAAAGACATTTACTATGGATTCTATGGACATTTACTATGGATTCAGGACTTAGCCTTAACAGATATCAGGAAGCTCAGAGAATTTTCCTGCCTCAGGACCTTTGCATTAGCCATATCATGGGCCCAGGAAGATTTGCCTGGCTGTTCCATTATATCATAGGGAACTCCCTGTTTCTAAAGTAATCTTGTCATTTTCCTTTACCCATTTAATTTTCTGGTTAATTATCACTATACTTTGACTGCTATCATGTATTTATTGTCTATCTTTTCCCCAACCCACCTCAACTTGCCTACCTCTTCACTGCTGTTGGGCTGCTCTGCTCAACACAGTAAAGCACATGTAGTTACTGACCACTTAAAATGGGTAGCAAATCTGGAGACAGGCTGTTCAGTACAAAATACACACCATATTTTGAAGACACAGTACAAAAAGACACTGAAATAATCCAATGATTTTTATTTGATTACATAAATGAATCAAATTGTAATGATAGTATTTAGATGTAGTGGACTGGATATAATTTTTAGATTAATTTCTTAAAATTTGTTTTCTTAAAAAATGTGGCTGTTACCAGAACTTTTAAAATTACCTATATGTATGTGGCTCTTATTTTATTTTCCTTTTTTGGCAACACTGGGAATTCAACCTAGGGCCTCACATGTGCTAGGCAAGTGCTCTACCACTGAGCAACACCATCAGTCCTTTTTATTTTTTGAGACAGATTCTCATTAAGTTGTCCAGGCTGGCCTCAAACTTGCACTCCTCCTGCTACAGCCTCCTGAGTACCTGGGATTACAGAGTACATCACACTCTGCTCTGTACTTTATTTCTATTGGCCAGCAACAGCCTAGAGAATGCCTTGCACATAGTAGACACTCAATAAATGTTTGAATAAATAAATGAATTCAAACCATTGCTCTGAAGATTTCCACTATTGTCCATTGTAATCCGTTTACAATACACTTTATTCAGTTTGAAAGCAACACAAAACTCTGACCTTTCTTAAAAAACAACAACAACAACAAAAAAAAACAGTAGCTTGGCAGCTCTCAACAACTTTGCCCACACTGGCAAACACAGCTGTCAATCAGTAGGAAAAACCTCAGAACTGGAAATGGATTCCTGTTAAAAAAGGCAGGTTAGCTTCACATTGCCTTTCAGATTTAACTTAAGGAATCAATGGAAAAAACTGCTATAAAAAAGATACTCAAGACCCCGGAAAATGGGCCATTTAAAAGGAGTTCTATGGGTAACACAATCACTGAAAAGAAAGCCCTTATCTAGATGGGAACTGGAAAAAGCTGCCTCTACACCTTTTTGACTGCCTGGCTCCAGCAAACAAAGAAATGTCACTTCCTAAATTAAAAAGTAACACCACCCCAGGGAAATCCTGGTTGGCAACCAACCCACCCACAATAACGAGCCACCAGCAACCAAAATGAAGACTGAACTTCAAGGCAAGATGCTCTCTGGAACAAATTCTGAGCCTTAGGCCTGGACCCCTTCTGAGAAGTTCCCTTAAGGAAACCGCTTTTAAATCTTCAGTTAAGGACTCTCAGAATAAATCTCAAATCCATCCTAAATTTCTGTATGCAAGGAGGTTAGACCAGGTAAACCTAAGGGATGCGCCTGGAGGTTTTGGCCTTTGTACAACCACCACACCTTTTCCACTGAGTCGGGGTGTTCATCTGAACTGGATGAAAGTGCATCCAATATTCTGGCTTCCACTTTTTTTTCCTGATAGTAAGGGGTGTTAACAAGGACGGGGCGAGCACTGGACCTCATGGCTTTTCTAAACTTACATGATCCTAAGTGTCACTAGGGATCAGCATCCCCAGTCCCACCCCACCGAATTAACTCTAGTGAGGGAGCGGCTCGGCATGTAGTTCTAACAGGGCCCCAATTCGTGGGAACAGGCAGGCCAGGAAGCACCCAACCACCCACCGAGGCGGGCACTATTATTATCCGTCGTTCAGGGACAAAACCGAGACGTAGGTTGGGGGGGTTAAGTGGCTTGTCCACGAGCGCGGCCGCCCAGCGTGGAGGGCGCAGGGCCGACTCCCACCCAGGCTGCGAGCGCGTCAAGGGCCCCTGGGCAACCGCCCGCTGAGGGTCTGTCTAGGGCTCGGCGCTCCACACGGTCCCCGGGCTGGGGCTCCCAGGCCCAGCAGCCCGTCCGCCCAGGACCCGGCGACGGCAGGAGTCGGGTGGCGGCCACTGACAGCGAAAGTGAAACAAAGCTGGGCGCCGGCGCGCACCCCGCCGCCCGGCCCCGCGCGCGCCGCCCCGGCCCCGCGCCCTCGCGCGCCCGCCTGCAGCCAAGCCGCCGAGGGGTCCCCGCCCTCCCTGGGCAACGGGCCTCGGCTCCGCGCGGCGGGAGCGGGCGCGCCCGGCCCGACTCACCTCCGGCCTCCATGGAGGACGCGCGCTGTTCGCGCGGCAGGCGACGGGCGCCTCAGCCCCCCGGGCCGCTGGCCCTCATACCGCCCCCGCGCCGCCCACCCCCGCGCCGGCCCCGGCCCCGGCCCCCTCCCCGGCCCCGCCGCTGCCGCGCCCGCCGCCACCCGGAGAGGCCATCAGCTGCTTCCCGTCACATGGCGGCGGGCGCGGGCGGGGACGCGCGGGGGCGGGGCGGGCAGGGTAACAGCGGGGGGTGGGGACGCGGCGGAAGGAGACAGGGCGGGGCCAAGAGTCGCGGCGGAAGGAGATGGGGCGGGGCCGAGAGTGCGGCGGAAGGAAACGGGCGGGGGGCGGGGCCGAGCCGAGACCGCTTAAAACGAGCTGGCTGCGAGGGGTCGGCGTCGGACGGGGAGGAACGCGGGCGTGTCGCGCTCTGTGGGCGGGCGTGTCGGGCTCGCGAACACGGAGAAACCGGGCAGGGGGGGCTCACGAACTAGCTAAAACCTGCGTCGTGGGGTGGGGGTCGCAGGGAAAGGGGACGATGAGAGCTAGAGAAAGGCCGGGGGAAGCAGGGTCGGGGAGGTGGGGGGCGAGAGGCAGTTGGAGAGCGGGGTCTGGGGAATGCCGACGGGATAGTGGGGCGCGGGACCCAGGCGGAATGGCGTGGAGGACGGAAGCGGGGCGCGGGCCTGGTGGGGGAAGAGGGGCCGGAGTGGAGATAGAGTGGTCGCGGAGCAGTGGGCCGAGGGTGGTACGGGAGGCGGGTGGGGGGGTAAGAGCAGGTGCGAGGAGCTGAGCCCCCTCCCCCGAGAGTGTCACCTCGTCCGCCTTTTTTCTACCTAGCCTTAGGCACTGCCCCTTTGAGGTCAGTTGGCTCGCCTCGGAACATTAAGGAGCCCCGGGAGGAGTGAGGAAAGGAAACTGAAAAGATGGCTTTTCTAAGTTGCCCTGTCCCCAATAGTCGTTGATGGCCTTGAAGTTTCTTACTGCGTCCAGCCAGTTTTAGTCTCCAAAATGCTCTCCACTTAAGGTTGCCGGGTTCTCTTTCGCCAGGTTTCCCCCGCGGTTCCAGCGTTAACTTGGGTCAGTCTCCCTCCTTCCTATTACTCCCTGTTTTCCTTCTCGCCCGGTCTTTAAACTTATTTGCCTTTTAACCAACCCTGTTTCCCGTGTTTTTAATTCGTGTTTTAATGTTTTTGGTTATTTTACCGGTGCCTATTTTGTGAACCCAGCCCGGTTCACCCCTCTTCCTTTTGCCCTCAGGTTCAGGAGCATCACCTCTTCGCCCCATTTCTTCTCAGGCCACCCGGGTGACACCTGTGGTTGGTTCCACCCTATAGTTCGGTTTTGGATCCCCGCTCTCTTCACATCCACCTTGTTCTTTGGCTGCCTGCCCGTTTTTTGCTGCCCACTTCAGCCTTGCCAGATCCCGTTTTCCTCCTCCCCTTTTCCCTGGGCGTTTTTCACCCAACCCTGAACCTACCCTTTTATCCTCAGCCCCAGTGTTGGTCTCCTCTGCCTGGGTTCCTGTTTTCTCTATCACCTAGCCTCCTTAGATCCCAATTTTATTCTCCAGTCTCCTTTGCTCAACCCTCCCACTTTTTAAAAAAAACATGGCTCCAGTCAGTTTCCTACACTCCCCAACCTCTGCCATTTTTCTCTTCTTCGATTTTCTCTTCTCCATTCTTTGTCTCCCAAATTCCTCACTTCTCCGGAGTCTTCAGGTCCTCATGTTTTTGTTTTTGTTTTTTTTTTTTGGTTTGTTTGTTTGAGATGCTGGGGACTGAACCCAAGGCCGTGTATAAAATGATAGGCAAGCAAAACTGTTGATTTTTGTTTTTCTGAGTTGGGGACCTGCAGATTTTACCCAGCAATGCTTTATTGTTTTTCTGGGGGGTGGGGACTAGGGATTTAACCCAGGGTCAGTTTACCATTGAGCCACATCCCTAGCCCTTTTATTTTGAAACAGGGTCTCACTCAATTGCTGAGGCTGGCCTTGAACTTGTGATCCCTCCTGCCTAAACCTCTGGAGCCCCCACAGTACCCAGCTAATGTATATATTGATGTATTCCATATGTATAATCATGGAAAAGAATAAAAATAGTGACGGGAACAATATCGTTTCCAATATTAGGACAGCCGGGAAAAAATTTTATTTTAGTCTGGCAAACTGGTTTTAATCAAATCTTTACATTTACTAGCCGGCTCTAAATCAAAAATCGCTGAAACATTTATTTAAAAATAACTTTATTCCATAATCTTAAAAAATCCATAAACTCATAACTAATTTCTCCCAACTTTACCCACCAAATATTAAAACGTAAATAATGCAGAGGAATCTGCTTATTTTTCTTTGCAGCAGTTTCTAGCCAGTCCCATGATGAGAATATATGTTGGCACTTATTGCATCATAATAAATTCTGCCCAGCAACCATGATTCTCCAGGTTTCAGTGCACAGGTTATAGAAATTTTCCATCACGTATTTCCCAGCTGCAGTTATAGGTCCTGTATGTGCTTGTAAGAAATGGAGCTAATATCAAAGCCGCAGGACTTCAGAGCCCCCTCCCCAGTGTTCAACAGTTTTTGAGGAAAAGCAATGTAATTGTAATAGCCCTGGAATGTTTACCTTCCTGGTTCTGATAAATAGTATCTCATGGTCTCTGAATTAACAATACATGCAGATAACATTTTTTTCAAGTCCATGGACTTTGCCACACAAAGGCTGTAACCTACTATTGACAGGCTTGTGTGGGTGTGGATCATGTTATAAGGGAAAAAAGAGCTCCAATTCTTCACACATCCTTGAAATGTGAAGAACTTCAGTGCCTGGGCTCTTTAACTAACCCCGAGTATATATGTGAACACAGGGTCCATATAAGTGACAACACTCACAGCTCAGATGGTCAGGGCTTCACAGTGTTTGGCACCAAGCCCTTGAAGCTCCCATTTGGTAGTGGAAAAACCCTCAACTATTTCCTATCGTTATGTGTGTGGGCAAAAGGAAGTTGTGGAAAATATCCGAGTGATATTGCAAAACATTGCATTCCTAGCTAGTGGTTCCCCCCCTAACTTTTGTCTTTTTTTTTTCTTTCTTTGTATAGTGGACTCTTAAATTTAGTCATGGAAGACTAAAAGAGAGACTAGTCAATCTCCATTGAGTTCAGAAGCAACCTGAGCATCTCATTCTGAAATGACACCAACAGTTTACAGAGTGATGCAGTCCAAGAGCTACTATGCAGCAAAGGAATGAACCAAGTGGAAATATAATTCACAGCTATTTATGAATTGTCACTAGCTCCAGACTCCCCAGTGTCCTGAGTTGGGAACAGGGCACATTTCTAGTGATTTTCTCAGTGTAGTCTCTTCCTCCAGAAAAACAGACTTTCCCAACCACACCTTCAGGTTACTACAGAAAACCAGCTTCTCATTTTGGGAGTCTCAGTTCCCTCTCTGGTACTGGAGAAGAGAAGTTCACTTTTAACCCGAAGTCTTGCCCATTGGAACAGAATATGCAACATTAAAGAATACAAATTCAAGGGCAAATTCAAGTCAGATGTCCGTGTTTAGCACACATCCATTGCACCTTTATATGGTCCCTGACTTCAAGGGATTTGGATGGAATTAGGGAGAAAAGAAAACCCACCCAAGGATCTACTGGAAGCTTTAGCAACCCAAACTCATCACTTGTCATTTTCATTTGAAACTTAGTGTTTTTGATCAGTATATCCTCCTAATATTTTTAAAAATTAAGATGATGCAAGTTTTCCCATTACAGAGGTGGGGAGACAAACTGGGGCTGGGTGGACCGGTTTGTCCAAGTTCTTATCAACAGATACTCTTAGGAAATAAACGTGCCTCTTGCCTCCTTTCAAAGCAAGAGAAGAATGAGAAAAGCTGAAAGCTAATCCTAGGTCCATCCCTGAGGAGGAGGCTTTTAATGTGAAGCTCTGTAAAAATGTAAGTTTCTAATGAAAGGCACTTCCTCTTATCAGTTCCTACCTCTTTTGTAAAGAATCATACCTCCAGGGGGAAAAGGATCCCCCTGACCTCTGACAATGGCCTCTTGGAAACCATTCTGCAAAGAACTAAAGTGTCTGCCGGCAACTCCTAATTGACAGTGAACAGTTTTTTTCTTCCACTAAGGAAGGCTAGAAGGTAACTAATATCTACTGAGCACCTCCTAGGCACTTTGACACCCCAGATTGCCTCGCCACAAGCCTGGCTCCTGTAGGAATGTCTTCACCCATTTCACAAATGAGGAAAACTGAGGCTCGTGAGGGGTCAAGAGACATGGCCAAGCACATGGAGCATGGGAGAGTCAAGGCCCAGGCAGAAGCGCAGCAGGAGTGTCGGTCCCAAACACCTCCCTCTGACTTGCTTTGGTAGCAGACATGTCACCTTTCTCAGGGAGCTGCTGTTGCCTGGTTTCTCACTTGGGCAGCGATCAAGGAAGTTTCCCTGTCACCCCATGTATTCCCTTTTGTGCTGGGGGAATGGCCAAGGGCACTGAGACCAAGTGCTTCCCTCATGTGTGTCTCTCCAAATCCCTGTCTATCACAGTATGTCAGCCTGGACAGGGCCAAGAGTGACAGCAAAAATGGCACCTCAGATGCCAACTGCAGCTCCCCAAGGGCTCCTTCCCACAGTAGTTTTACATCATTGGGGAAATTTACATCAAATTAAACCAATTTTTTTAAAAAAATGGAAGGAAAGCTATGTGTCTGCTTTTCTTCTCCGCTGGGAGACCCCGGGTGTTTGTAATGCAAACTCCCCGGCAGGGCGTGAGTGGGGTCAAAGCTGAATGAAGAGCTCCGCAGAGCCTCCCACACTTTCCAGACAGCAATGGCCAGTCCTCTTCTTTAGACTGGCCTGTCTTCTTCTTGAATGATGTCACTATGTTGCTCACTGATGTCATCTGTTCAGGGGGGGAAAAGAGACCCGACTGAGTAACCTCTGGAGTGTGACTGTTTCCATGCCTGTCCTGATTTCTTCTTTTCTGAGGAGCCACAGAATGGGAATTCATGGGCTGGGTGTTCATTCTCCTGTTCTCTTAATTCAAAGTCCTCTAGATCTGCCTAATGTTTTACCCACCATGTTCCTGGTTCCTGCCTCCCC